AGTGTCGGTACAGTCGCCAGGGCAGATCTCTTGCGTCATCATAGCTAGCCCAAAGTAGCCAAATCCATGGTATGGTATACACAGGACGATGTAAAACAAAGAATTCATTTGTTAAAATTTATTTATAGATACTGTACATAAATTTTTTTTCATTACATTTGAAACATCAAACTTTGTTAATTAAATTTGATACAAAAGAAAACTACGATACCATATTTTCATTAAAATATTACATCACAAGTATATTTTACCTAAACTGTGACTGAATGAATATATTCTCAGAAATAAATATGGAAATGTAATATTTTGGCTGAAGTGACGTACATATTACTGTACAGTGGAAAGTGGGATAAAATCATGAAAACAATGACTTTCGCTTTCTTTCGTTGTTCAAAAGATTTTACCGTAATCGCTTTTCGAATGGTTTTCAGTTAAAAAACTGTTGTACTGTACTGTACTCGTACTGTATTACAATAATATTCTATCCTATCATTAGCCTTATAATCCCACAACTGAAAACCATTCGAAAAGCGATTACGGTAACATCTTTTGAACGAAAGAAAGAGAGAGATTCATTGCTTGCATCACAATTTTATCCCACTTTCCACTGTAATATGTACATCATTTCAGCAAAAATATTACATTTCCATGTTCTCAGAAATAAATGGTAGTTTTGTTGAAACGTAATGTACAGTATTTAATATTAAAATGCAAAAATAGCTATAAAAACAATTAATACACCCGAAATATACTGCTCCTGCTCCCGCATCCAAGGTCACCTCACCACTCCTCCCAACTCGCTCCCTCCGCTCCCTCCTCCACCTCTACCTCCTCACCGTCACTACTGCCGACAACAAACACAAATGTTTTGTGAATAACTGCACCTCCACTTCCTATGTACAGTACTTGTACTGAACTGTACTGTGCTGTGCATTTTTACAAACAATAAACATGGCAAGAAAAGCTATTAAAAAAAAAGAGATAAAAATTTCACTTTACTGTACCGTACCTCTCCTCGGCGACAGGGCGGGGGTCATCGGGCTCATCGTCACTCAATTCCATAACGGGTGGTGAAGTGGGGGCGACGGTGGATTCAGCTGCTTCCTCACTGCCGCCAGTGATTGATGGTGTTAAATCTCTCCTTCGGTGATCAAAGAACATGGTGATGGGGAGTTGTCGTCTCTTTCATTCATTTCTTCCATGATGTTTTTGTATGGAGCGAAAACGTCATCCATCCCTCGCATGAATTTCAGGGCACGCACCATGGAGGGGTCCATACTATAGGCCAGGTTTTTCAGTGCCTCAATATTCCTGGTCATCTCCCCCAACTTCTCCAACGTTATTTCTTGGTCCTCATCCTCTTTCCCTTTCGCTTCCTCTTCCTTGCCTGAGTCTACTAACTCCTGTAGATCCTCCTCGGTCAGCTCAGTGTCGTGCTCTTCAATTAGCTCCCTAATCTCGTCCTCTGCCATGTCCCGGAAGCCTTCAGCAGCAACTTTCCTTGACAGTGCCAGGGTCTTTCTGAATATTTTCATTAAAATCCATCAAAATCATTTTCCTTGTCATCGTCTTAAGCACCAAACAGCTCCTCCCAGTCTTCTTGAACAGGGCTAGAGGGTACGTGTTTTTCGAATAGTTTTCAATTAAAAAAATGTTACAGCACATGTATATTTTACCTAAACTGTGCCTGAATGAATATATTCTCAGAAATAAATAGTAGTTTTGCTGAAACGTGATGTATTTCAATGTAAAATAGGATAAAATACATGACGAAAACAAAAGACTTTACCTAACCTTCGAATGTTCAAGAGATGTTACTCGTTTTTTTAATAGTTTTTGGTTAAAATACTGTTATATTACAATGATATTATATTCATACTGTGCTTGATATACTACATTCACGGAAATGTAATATTTCTGCTGAAATGACGTACGTATTACAGTGGAGTGCCGGATTTTCGAAAATGCCAGAAAACTGATGGTTATATTTGCTGTATAAGTTTAACAGAAAATGACTACCTGTACAGTCATTTAAACAAAGAAAATTAAACACTAAATGAAAAGCAAATGAAATTTTATTATATATGCTGTATACAGAATATTTAACAGAAAATTACTACCTGTACAGTCCTTTATAAAAATAGAAAATTAAACACTTAATGAAAATCAAATGAAATTTTAATGTTTATCAGGCTAAACAGCAGATGGGCTATCAGGATTATCATCTTTATCACTGACAGTGACAACATCCTCAGCAACAGGAACAGCTTCAACTTGTCTTGAAGTTGATGGCAGTGGATTATCAAGTGTGGGACACCGCTGTTGCTTCTTCCTGCTTCCTAGCTATTTTCTTGAATATATCGGGCAATGTCTGTTGCTTCATATACTTGGGTCTTTCTCTAATAAGTTTATCTTGGATCAAGAAAACATTCATGATTTCTTGTTCACTTACAAAACTTCGTTGCTCTAGTCCAGCCAGCAGTTCAGTTGTCAATGCAATTAACCTGTCAATAGAGATTCTGTCTCTCACATCTTCCTCATTTTCTTCACTGCTTTCATCTTCATCACTACCTGTACAGGCATTTCTCTCTGGACTTTTAACCATATCTACAAATTCAGAATCAGTGTAATGATGAACTGTAGGCACATTATCATCAACATCCAACCATTCTGTTAAAACATCTTCATTTATCCTTGATGAAAGCTTCTTGGCATCAGGATTAGTTACATATTTAACATAAGCAAGAAGTTCATGTATAAGTTGCTTTTCTTTGGAAACCCTAAACCTTGCAAAATCATTTTCTGTGTCTTCGTTAGAATGAGAAGTAAACATTAAACTTGGCCACAATTTATGCCATCCATTTTTCAGTGTTGATGTTTTAATAGACGTCCAAGATTACAAATAATAAGTACAGTACTCCCTCTTTATCGACGGGGGTTACGTTCTGTAAACGGCAGTCGATAAAGAAACCGTCGATACCGTGATGGTTACGTAATTTTTCTAACTATTATTAGCATATGTTGAATAAATGTACCTTTAAGCATTAATGCGTTTCCTTTACACATAACCTTAAATAATAGTGTATAAATAATAATATAATAAGTGGACAAAAATACTAGCAAACTTACGATTTCATTTATTGAAGTGAACATCGGTCCTTACAGTAAACAAAACAGTGTACAGTACAGTAAAAGTCCAAAAATCCGGATGCCCAAAGCAAATTGTTTACCATTTATTATTACAACACTTTACACTGAAACGCGGGTAGTTTCAACAAAAAATATTGTATATTTCCATTCAAGTATTTATTCAAGTCAATTAGGAGGGCATATTATTGTAATACAACAGTTTTTTAACTAAACCATTCGAAAAGTGATTACGGTAACATCTTTTGAACGAAAGAAAGTGAGTCATTGTTTTCGTCACGATTTTATCCCACTTTCCACTTTAATACGTACGTCATTTCAACAAAAATATTACATTTCCGTGAATGTATTATATCAAGCACAGTATGAATAGAATATCATTGTAATATAACAGAATTTTAACCGAAAACTATTAAAAAAACGAGTAACATCTCAAGAACATCGGAAGCATAGGTAAAGTCTTTTGTTTTCGACATGAATTTTATCCTATTTTACATTGAAATACATCACGTTTCAGCAAAACTACTATTTATTTCCGAGAATATATTCATTCAGGCGCAGTTTAGGTAAAATATACGTGTGATGTAATAATTTTTTAACTGAAAACGATTCGAAAAACACGTAGCCTCTAGCCCTGTTCAAGGAGAGGACTGGGAGGAGCTGTTTGGTGCTGCAGACGATGACAAGGAAAATGATTTTGATGGATTTTAATGAAAATATTCAGAAATATGGTATCGTAATATTTATTCAAGTCAATTAGGATATTATTGTAATACAATACAACAGTTTTTTAACTAAACCATTCGAAAAGTGATTACGGTAACATCTTTTGAACGAAAGAAAGCGCAAGTCATTGTTTTCGTCACGATTTGATCCCACTTTCCACTGTAATACATACGTCATTTTAGCAAAAATATTACATTTCCGTGAATGTATTATATCAAGCACAGTATGAATAGAATATCATTGTAATATAACAGAATTTTAACCGAAAACTATTAAAAAAACGAGTAATATCTCAAGAACATCGAAAGCTTAGGTAAAGTCTTTTGTTTCCGTCATGTATTTTATCCTATTTTACATTGAAATACATCACGTTTCAGCAAAACTACTATTTATTTCCGAGAATATATTCATTCAGGCGCAGTTTAGGTAAAATATACGTGTGATGTAATAATTTTTTAACTGAAAACGATTCGAAAAACACGTAGCCTCTAGCCCTGTTCAAGGAGAGGACTGGGAGAAGCTGTTTGGTGCTAAAATAAAATCCAAGCAAATAATCCGGCCGATAATCGAAACCGCCGATAAAAAAATCCGCCGAGCAAGAGGAGTACTTGCACCGCATCCTTAATGTTGAACTTTACAATTTCTGTACTGGGGTGCCTGAATTAACTGAACTCACTAGGCGCCTCATTAACAGGGATCGATACTTACACTTCATAGAACGTATGATACCATTGTCCTGTGGTTGAATTAGTGATGTGCAGTTCGGTGGGAGGTAGGCAACAAAAACATTATCTTTCACTAGAAGATCGGCTTTTGGATGTGCCGAACAATTGTCTAAAATAAGAAGTATCTTGCATTTAGGGTCTAGTCCAACTGAGTTACAGTGAGCCCTGGCCTCAGGAACAAAACATTTATGAAACCAATCCAATGTAATATCAGTGGTAACCCACCCCTTCTTGTTGGCACGGTAATGGACAGGAAACCGTGTCATACCCTTAAAGACCCTCGGATGTAAACTTTTTCCGATAACAAGCAACTTACATCTATGGGTACCCGCAGCATTAGAGCAGCACATTACCATGACGCGATCCTTCGAAGCTTTAAACCCCAATGGCGATTCTGCATCCTCAGTTGTCAGTTCTTTTTGGCGTACATCTCCAAAATAAGGCAGTTTCGTCAGCATTGTACACTTGTTCAGGACTTAAATGTCCATCACTAACTAACTTTGCAAATTCATCCACATAGGCACTAGCTGCATCCTTGTCTGCTGAACGTTTATCACCACATACTGCACGAAACTGTAAGCCATGTCGCGACTTGAAACGTTGCAGCCAACCTTCTGTATAGTCACACTTGTGTTGCAATCCCAGCTCTTCATGAAACACTTTGGCTTGTTCCTTTAATAAATCACCAGAAATTTCCACACCTTCACTTACACGAAGTTTAAACCAGGTTATGAGAACTTGGTCTAGTTCCGCACTTTTTCCCTCCGACATTGACTTCCTTACAAACATTTTCCTTTTTGATCCACTGTCAGAAAAGAACTTTAACAGTTTTTCTTTCTGTTTTTTAATATCGTACACTGTTGAAGAGCCGATGCTGTATGTTTCACAAATGGTTCGCACAGACACGCCGCTATCAAGTTTTTTAAGCACTTCCACTTTCTCTGCAATCGACAACGCACGATGTTTACGTTTTACGCCACCGCTTTTCTTTGCTGAATCCATGATGGGGCTATACAGCAGCAATTAAATGATAAAATCAGAAGGAATGAGCATGAATGCTTGTTAGCAGGTGCAAGCAATACCCAACAGCTGATTCTGGAGTACAGCGCTATCAAAACATAAACGGCACGTCCAGAAAACAATGGTGCGTCAAGGCAGGAAATTTGAAAATGCGCTCCGAAATCCATGCGGGAAAACTGAAGGTTCCGGTTTATCGATTGCCGGATTTTTGATGGTCAACCTGTATATATATATGTGTGTGTGTATATATGTATATATATCTGCATATGTATGTGTATATGTATGTATATGTGTGTGTATGTATATGTACTGTTAATGAATATGATGCATCTCTTTGTGTACGAACCTCTGTCCTGCATGGCAGTGAACAGTGACATTACCCACATGAATCTGACCTCTATACATATATAGCTGTTAATGAATATGATGTATTTCTTTGTGTATGAACCTCAGTCCTGCGTGGCAGTGAGAAGTGATACCATCCTCAGTGTCAAGACCTGACTGAATTACTCAGAATAGGCAATCTGTACTACAAGCTTTGCCAATAAATTTGTTAAACTAAACTTAACCAGTAAATGACCTGACCTGATACAATGTCAGGTGGAGGTAGGGTGGGGAATTAGTGGTCTCATATTACTGACCTTCTAATGGAATGTCAGGTTACTCACCCTTTCTTGGGTGGGGAATTAGTGGGTCTCATTACCTGAAAATGTCTTGAACAAGCACGAAGCTTAAAACGAATTTTTAGGGAGATTGTGATAAGTATAAGTATAAATGAGCAAAGTTGTATCCCTTCAACATTATGTTATATGACATTTTAACCCTCAAGCCCCGGGTTAGTGTGCCGCTGGGCATACCTCCACGCAGGGGTAAATCAAGAAAAATCAACTTTTACAAAAATAATTTTTAACATTTTTAAATGATAAAACAATAAAGAAGAAGTAAGAAAACTATATATTGACCCTCTAGAAACTTCCCTGGCAGTATGGAGGGAGGGAGGGAGGGAGGGAGGGGGGGGTGATGAGGGGACAGCTTCTTATGATGGCGAGCGCTCGTGGTCACCTACGCACTTAGCAGCTATTTTTAGCTTGCATTTGTGTCCGGGATTGTCAGTAATACATATATTTACTGATCATAATACTTATTTGCTATAAATAATTCAATTAGAATTTATTTTATTTGCATTATTTTTCATAAAAACTGCTTGGCAACACACACAGTCTGTCGCCAGGCTGTCTTTGTGTCTGGTAGAGCAAGTAATGCGTAGAAATAATTATTGGAATAATAATTCCACAAATAAATACATTTATAACATAATCATAGCAGTATTTTCCAGTAATACTACACTACAATACAACTGCACTACTTTTAGCAATATTACCCTGATACAACATGATAAAATGGACAAACAATGAAAATGAAACAAACAAAAGTTCAGGAAGCTTCCCTGTGGCAGAGCCTGCAGTGTGACAGGCAAATAGTCACACTGGAACCTGATAACCTGAGCTGGGCATTTAAACAGTGGCGGGAAAAGGTGCGCATTCTGGAATGTCACCCGGGGCCCGCCGGTCGGGCGTTCTGAAACGTTACCCGGGGCGTAAAGGTTAAAATATGGAGTGAGAAAGCAGGAAGACGTGGGTAATTAGAGAGATGGTGTGAAATGAGTGATGCCAAGCAATCAACAGCTGATATTTAACTCGCTACCATGCAGTCACACACACTGATCGCTATAAGAACAGCCCAGTCCCAACCATTGTAAAAATTATCAATAACTTGTAATCAACCAGTGTATTTACTCCCAGTCAATCCTACTTTTTGTACTGTTACTATGTTGAAATGCCCTGTAATTTGAGCTTCTCCCCACCTAGTTATTATACATCATATTTGTATCACTTATGTTACTTGTATATTATTTGTAAATCAAGAGACCTGTTCCCCATTTATGTACAGTAACTGTATATTTTCACAGCCTTCTGGCTGCCATGCTCTTTCAATAAACAGTTAATTCTTATTATTACGCAGATGTGTCATACAATAAGGCCTTCACTCTTCATGCTTGCTAATCCCCCCCCCCCGTGTGTGTGTGTGTGAGGAAGGGGGGTTGTGGGTGGGAGTGTGGGTGGGTGTGTGATGTTGGGGTGGGTGTGGTTGTCTGAGTGTGTGTGTGTGTGTGTGTGTGTGTAATGTTGGGGGTTTGTGTGTGATGTGGGGTGTGTGATGTGTGGGGGGGTGGTGATGGTGTGGGTGATGTGGGGTGTGGGTGGTGTTGAGAGTGTGTGTGTGGGTGATGTACAGGTGTGTGGGTGGTGTTGGAGGGTGTGTGCAGGTGGTTGTTGGAGGGTGTGTGCTGATGGTTGTTGGAGGGTGTGTGCGGGTGGTTATTGGAGAGTGCGTTTGTGTGTGTGTGATGTATGGTGTGTGTGTGATGTATGGGTGTATGTGTGATGTATGGGTGTATGTGTGATGTATGGGTGTATGTGTGATGTATGGGTGTATGTGTGATGTGTGGGTGGTGATGTATTTTTTTTTTATGGGGATTAGCCCACCTGGGCACAGGTCCTCTGACCCACATCGGGTTTATGAATCTCTAATAAAGTTTCTGAAGACTTCAGCCAGTGATGAAGTTGCTACATTGATGTACAACTTGGTTAACATGTAAAACATTAAGTTAGTTCTCATTGACGGAAGTGTGATCAGGTTGGTTCTGTGAACAGCTTTGCCAGTGTCCTGCAGGCCACAGGCCTATGTCTCGGCTAAAGGTGGAGGAACTAATCACTGTTCAACGTGTATCTCTTTTATATTTACAAGTTTAAAGTCTACTCAGCTAACTCAGCATTACTTCTTATTATTAACTGTTATAATAATGTGGTAAGTTATTATTAGTTTATTTATATAAACTAATTTACCAGAAAAAAGTTGACGAGAAATAATTAACTCGTCTCAACTCTGTGAAACTGTATCTGGTGGCTACTTAAGCTCACCAGACTAATTATTTATAATAGTAATAAGCAAAAGCACTACAGTGCTCCCTCGGTTAACGAACACAATTCGTTCCACAGAGTCGGTTGTTAACCAAAAATTTCGTAAACCGAATCTATTATTTCAATGGGATATTGGGTAATTGGTTCCAACTCACAGAAAAAGTACATACAAAGGACTGTATACCAGTAATAAAATTAACAAAACATTAAATATAAACTAAATACAGTACTGTACAGTACAGTATACTATACAATAATAAATAAAAAACAATATAATACTGTATTTTACCTTACTTTCAGGTGTGTATGTCATATTCCCAGCAGTTTTGTTTACATATCAAACAGCTGGTTGTAGAGGCAGTCGATGTTGACATGCCATATTCTTTACAGAGTGCATTGGTTCTAAGGCCATCCTCATGTTTCATAAAAATTTCTGCACTGTATATGATCAGTATATTAACTAAATTTCAGAATGACCAATAATTTTAATGTAAAAATGCAAAAATATTCAAGACACCAAAAAAATCGATGTTCACTCCACTGTAGACAAAGTTAAACTGAGAAGGGGTGTTGGTTGATTCAATCAGCTGATGGGTGCACAAAAACTGTTCTCTGTACTGTCTATATTATCAATATGTTAACTAAATTTCAGAATGACCAATAATTTTAATATAAAATATGCAGAAATATTCAAGAGACCAACTTTCTTGATATTAACTTCGCTGGAAACGAATGTAAACATAGAACCAATTACTGTATTGGCGGACTAGTCGATCAGCTGATGCACACAACAAAACCTGTTTGTCGTAAGGATTTCGTTAATCGACGATTTGTTTGTTAATCAAACTGAAAATCCTGATGGGAGCTAAATCGTAAACCAAAATTTTGTTAATCGAACCATTCGTTAACCGAGGGATCACTGTATTTATATTTTTCTACAAGTGAATCGTGATTATACGAATTATGGTGAGAAATCCAAAATCAACCCTTGACAATAAGCCTATTATTCTTTAAATTTCCACAGAATCCCACCATTCTCATCTCCACAGGTGCTTCAGGGCATCTCAGAGCAAGTCACCAAGCAGTTTTATTTACAATTTAATATTATTAAGTGGAATTACAGGCAATGATCATTATATGGTGGGTTGAGACCACAAAAACCCATCGATAAGTGATTGATTGTACAGCATATCGATTTTAATAACTTACGGGGAAAATTATGTTCTGTTCCTGAGCCCCTGAAGGGCCCAAACAAGTTTTATATCTTGCCACAATAATGATTAAATTAATCAAATAATGTATAAACAGACAGAAAATCAATACATTTATACAAAATAAAGATTTGTTTTCATTTACATTACATGATAATATATACATGTACAGTACAGTCGTAAGTTATGATTCTCACAGCTGTTACTCCAAGAAATTTCAGGTAGACATACTCATAATTGTCTTCTTCTTTTTTAAGTTTGCTAAATGTACACCCAATCTTTCATACAGAATGTGAAAACAAAATACAATAAAATAAAAATTTCCACGAGAATATAAATTTTTTATATCCCTGAAGTTAGTGTGGATCGTGGCAGCGGGTAGGGGATTCAACGTCTGGATCTCAGCCTCCAAAGCTGTGAGCTGCGTTATGGTTATTTTTTAACTTGTAATTTCAGGTAGATACTGTAGAGGTAATTTTCATTTCTTTTTTCTTTTTTTTTTTTTGCTCTGTGCATGCAGACACAATCGTTCATAAAAAAATATGTAAAAAAATAAGTATACTATACTGTAATGTACACCTGTATATAAAATATTAAAAATTACCATATGGTCATAATATAATACAAATTTCTTACGTCCCCAGAAACTGTGGGAGAGGTAGCGCCACGGGAGGGGGAAGTGCAGTGTCGGTATTTCAGCCTCCAAGGCTGCGTTATTGTTATTTTCAACTCGTATTTTCTAGTACAGTACATATAAATATTTATTTTTACTTTTTTACTTTCTTACATG